TGATTCCTATATTTATAGTATATATGGTGAACTTTATTATATTTATCATACTAAGAAAATGTAATTTAGTATATTTTTATTTTAATTTTTTTAATCAATTTTATTTTATTTTTTTAATAATCAAATGAGACTTTAGAGTAATCATGCAAAAAAATTTTCGAGGAAGAAATTCATAATAGAAAATGGATGAGATGAAACTAATACAACGAAATTCCAATAAATTTAAAACTTTACCGCAGAAATTTAGATTTAAATAGAAATTAAAATGTGTGAGAAAATGATTGAAATAATTTTTTAAGTTAAAAGATTTACTTTACATGTTAAGTGAAGTAGCCCAAAATGTAAACACTCATCGAGAATCTCTTATATTCAGTTGAAGAAAAAGTAAAAGTTTTAAGATGACCTTTATGATAAAAAAAAAAAAGAGAGAGAGAGAGAGAAGTAAATTGGTATCTTTGTGGACATGTGCTGGCGACTCGTGAAAATTGCAATGGGAAGTGATGATATCATTTTCCAGAACATTCGTGATGAAATCAAAAAATTGTGGAAACATAATTTGTGTCTCTAAACTTTATTAATTTTATAATGATAAATGATCAATTTTATTTTTTAACATAAATTTCAATTAGAGAAAACATTTTAAAATGTTTAACTTAACAGAATATTCTCAATTTTTTATTTTTATATTTCTAAAATTAATTTTTAATATAAAATGATAAATGGCAGTGAACAAATCGGGGAAAAGAGATGACCGAAAAAAAAAGGGAGAAAGGAGAGAAATGGGCCTCGCCGAAGAGCAAGAAGAATCATTGAAGGTCCCAAAAAAAAAAAAAAAAAAGCTGAGAAGCACGAGCGAAGAACAACTGAGAGCACAAGCTGAAGAGCAGGGCCGCCACAGGTGATCTTACCCTTCCTGTCGGCCACCTTCTTCGTGCTGTTCCGTTTAATCGCAGAAAGTTAAAGGTGTGGATGGTTCCGATTCTTATTCTTTCTGGTTAATCAAAGCTGTGTCCCCTTTAATATATCATTTGGTTCTTGACTTCGGGTAACTTCCGTTGGGTGGCTTGGAAGTTGCGTTTAATCTCTAGTGTGGGGTTTAAGTTAAAAATACTCGCATGTTCAATCTGGCTTTGCATTTGTTCCCGCATCATCTGTTCCCTGCGTGGTTGTTCTTGCTTTGTTTGGAATTTTTCATTTTACTTTGGCTTTGAATTTGGTCGTGTAATCATTTGAATTTTGACGCTTTTGAATTTGGTATTATTTACAGATTGAGTTTAATTTCTGCCCTCTTCATTTTTATTCTGTGTTGGATTCGTTGTGTATTTGCATTCTGTTTATTAATCTCTTTATATTATCATCAATTTAGAAAATTCTCAAGGTATTTGTGATGTATGATCTTGTAAATGACTTGGCTTGAGTTGTTTCAAAGTATAAAGGGTATCATATCAACTATGCATATCTCAAAGATTTCAGTGGGCGCAGATGTCCCCACTGAGTGTAATATAGGTCTGCCTATGTTCTACATATAAGTAATGGTATTAAGAAGTGAGAAACTATATGTGAGTTTGTTTGATGTTAATAAATACTAGGGAGAATGGTAGTGAGGGCCCCAATAAGAGGGGGGGAAACAGTGAGGCCCCGAACAATCGAAGGTTCATCTATACATAATTAAAAGTTTATCGATTGACTTGTATATATATATATATATGAGCTTTCAGTTGTTCAGGGCCTTCATTGCTTTTTTTCCTCCGCTGGGAGCCTCACTGCCATTCTCCTTAAATACTAAGTGCTGTATTTCATGTGTTAAATTTGAGGTTTTCTACATCTTCCCAGGACTTCTTTTAAAAATTCACAAAATCTTCCAGGAGGACGTAAGTGATATTTCTAGGGTCTCTGGCGAAAACACACCAGCCAACTTCTGAACTTAGTTTCTTTTTTGTTTTTTGTTTTTTATGGTTAACCTTGATTTCATTATTTCTTTTGCTGAACATATTATCCAAGTTCTGCACCCATTATAGATGAGGTGGCTAAGATTTCAGCTCTTTCTAATTTACCTTGTGATTGTACCTGGGTCTTGGGAGCAAAGCAGGACAATCAAGGTTTGGGTTAAATGGCTTAATGATTTTAGTGACATTTGACCATGAGCTTAGTAAAATTGGTGAAATACTATACACTAGAGTGCATGGTTGGTAGATGCAAAAAATGAACTATGATGCTTTTTGGTATAACTAGAAGTTGCCAAGCTACCTAACTAACAACTTTTTTCTTTTTAAATCAGAATGACTTAGCTAACGACAAGGGGAAATTATGATACCTTATCTTTGAATAAGTCATTCTAACATGATGAATTAGAATTCAATGATGCTGCATTAGCTACTCTCTCTATTAGATTAATTTTTTGGTATGGAACCGCTATCACAGTTGTATTTGTCAAGGGAACCATTTCCAATTGAAATGAATAGCTAACAATTTTCTAATATAACAAAGTTATCTTTGTTTTTCCCCCACCCAAAGAATCATTTCTTGTTGAAACATTTTTCTTTTGTTGAAGTGTCCGTGTGTTTCTGGTCTTCCTGGCGTCATCCCATCAATCCATTTTGCTTTCCTTTTATTTATGGCTGTAGTCCTGCAAGATGGAAAAGGGTTTGATATGGGCTACAACAAATGATTTGGCCCGAAATAGAGGAAGGGTTCTCTCACTGTATCGCCAAATACTAAGAAGCCTCAACTCTCCGAAGTTACCGCTTAATTTAGCTTCTAGAATGGCTAAGAAGGCAGAGGTACGTGCCATTTTTTTGTTGGGGTCTGAGGAACGATCACTGCACAACATTGATGACCTCATTGACACTGCGGAGTACTCTCTTTCCCTTTTAAGAAAAGGTGAAATCCCTAAGCACATTCAATGAGCAAGCTGATTTACTCCTCATGTATAGTGTTTTCAAATGTCTCTCCTTTTTGTTATTTGGGTTTATTCATAAAGTGTCAGCTGTACTGGATTCTATTCTTTTGGTACTGGACCTATAAATGGAGTGGTAGTTGCTTTGCCACGTCGTGATTAACAATTTTTTCTGTTTCAAAGGTAGAAAAATATATCTATTTTTCTCTAGGTATCTGATATTTCAGATTGCAGACCGATTTTTTTCTTAAAGAATTGGCCAGGCAATCCTGGCCATATTAGTAATACTATTCTAAGAGGGATAGGTTGTGCTGATCATTTTCATCATGTGTGTGTCCAAAACTTGTATCTAACGTCTGATCTAAATGATTGAGATCCTTATGATATAGAATCAAATGACATTTCATTTCTTCTACCAAAGAAAGAAAAGGGCATTTCATTTTCTGGATGCATAATTTTCTTTGGTTTGTGAGGGAATGGAATGGCAAGTACGTGTCATTCCATTGTTTGGGTGTATTAACGAGGGACGAGAGGAATTTCCTTTGCCATTATTTTAGAATCTTTTAACGTGATATTTATATGTTGTTAAAAGTCGGAAGTAAAATGTGTTTGTTTCCACAAAAGTAAATTATATGTTTTGAAAACATAGATGCTTTATATATTTTACTCTGAAAAAGAGTTGAGGGAGAGAATAAGACGACTCTCAGATATCTTTTTTGGGGAGATATTGGGATTCAATACCAACTAAAGAGTTTTTATAAAATTTACCTATCATCTCCACAATGGACAGACTAGACCGGACTTGAGTGTAACTCAGAATTTGGTCTATTTCATTGGACAAGTTGCGTTAGACAATTCATAGTCTACTTTGATTTAAAAGGAATTTAAGAGCTAGCTAGATTAAACTTGTTCTATAAGATTGGAGAATTATTTTATATAGTTCAATATCTTACTTTGCTTTTTATTTTTCTTTTTCTCTATGACAAACGTGGATTCAATTAAGTAAATTTAATTAAAACAAAAATACACATAATCATATAAAATTTATTGCAAAACATTAAAATGTAATAAAATTTCATAATAAAGTTACAATCTATGATCATAAATCCATAACAACTTTTAACAAACTTTAATAAGTCTAAATTAAATTACAACAAGTTGACAACAAAGGATTCAAATCTAATTTAATAATAAATTACCAATGACGATAAATTAACAAAACCCATGGAAAATTTGAAGCCAATCACAATCCCGGTGATCTAAGGAGCAATCTGACGTCAATCCAAGCAGAGCAAATTACAATTAAGCCAACGCCACATCACACTGGAACCTCCTCAAAAAGTCGTCTGATCATATACATCGAACCACAAGCTATTATTTAATGCTGATTCAAAGCCTATATAGATGGAGGTCTAATAAAGCTCTGTACATGTACATCCAATTAAAAATGAATAAAATGGGTCTCGGTCACGACATAAAGCAATACAATAAACAAATTACAAGGAATACCATGGTCTTGAAATTCGGACCGGACCGGTCGGGTCAATCCGGAAACCGGTGACCCAGTCCCTTGTCCGGTCTGGGTCTACTCCTAAACTGGTGACGAAATAAACCGGTGTAACCTGGTTAACCCGGTGGGTTGACTGGGTTAACCTGGTTATTTTTTTAAATTTTTTTTTCATTTTTTATTTTTCAGAGTGCTAAATTTAGAAATAAGATAACAAATAAAAAGTAAAACTAAAGTCAAAAAATAAAAAATTAGAGATAGAGCACGCTAAGTCCAATTCAGATTTTCAGACAGCATTTATTTCGGCCTTTCATCTGTGTCTCTCCTCTCTCACCCTAACCTAATCAGTGTCTCTTCTCTAGCTTAGTCTCCGTCTCTTCTTCAGGCTCCAGCTCTATCTCCATCTCTTCTCCAGCTCTATCTCTGTCTTTGCTATCTTCATCTCTTCTCCAGCTTAGTCTCTGACTCTTCGTCTTTTTTCTAGCTCAATCTCTGTCTTTTCTCCAACTCTATTTCCATCTCTTCTCTAGACTTTTGAGATTGAAGAGTTGTAAGTGTAATGATAGATATTTAAAATATTGTATTTTATTACTGTTAGACTTTTGAGTGGTTAAATTTAGTTGAATATTTTTATAATTAATGTCTTTTTATTTAAATTATATTATTTTAATCATGACCGGTTTGCCATCGGTTCAACCCCCGGTTCAACCCTAATTGAACCACTAACCCGTGACTCAATGCCATAACCGGTTCAACGATCGGTCCAGTTTTACGTACCTTGAGGAATACAATAAACAATTATGCCAAATATAAACACCTCCAATTCTGGTGGAGATGAGTCCAACCCGTATTACCAATGAACAATTGTCAGATCTTATGTATAAGAATAAATTTATACACTTAGCCTTAGATAATTATAATTAATGTATTTATTTTTAATTAAATCGAAAGATAGACACATGAATCTTTTATAAATTATTTATTCCATAACAAACTTTTGTTATTAATATTATTATTAATATAAAATCCATCTCAATTAACCACCGTGTGAAGATTTAAAAACCAAATTTAATCAACACAAGGCACTCGAAGGATGTTGAGTTGGATAAATTCCCAGTGTAAAAAAAGAGACGAAGATTGAAAATACTCAATGTATAAAGAAATACTTTGCCTCTCATCCCCTCCTTTAAACCAAACAGTATGTTAATGTTAAAAAATGGGGCAAAGAATAATAATGGGGAAGTGGGCAAAAATGTGTGTGTGTTTAAAATTGTAAATTATAAAATAATTATATATCATAATGTTGGCGCAACTTTTGAGGAAGGAATTAGAGCGTTGCTCCCCTTAAGGGTGTGCTAAGCATGCCAAATGAGCATATCCTCAAAAAGTGTAAGTCGGATAAAACAATTAAGCGGGTTTCTAAGGTCTTTATCACAATTTATTTGGAGAGTCAATTATTAGCAAGAAAATAAAGGTCGAGTGTAAGGTTCAATTATATTAATGATGAACTAATACAATGGGTGCTTTGTGAAAGCAATGATGAAAAGACAGAAACAAGGTAGCTTAGGAAGCCGAGCTTGCATAAAAGAAGTAGTTCACACTGGGCGAAGTTGGTTAATGCAAGGTCAGGATTGATGTTTCACACTAGGAAAGTCTTGTGTAAGCTCAGTAGAGTATCAAGGGTCTTTTAGTCATATACTCATTGTCTATTTATAGAAAAATGACAACATGGCACTCCTTTTGAATTTAAGTGTGGCACCAGAAGGAGCAAGTAATTGTTTGTAATATGGAGTAGGGAGAGTGAGTGTACTAAAATAGTCAGGAAGTAGGGTAAGTAGGCAAGACTGTGTCTCTGACTATCTAAATGCACTGTTCCACTTGCCCATGTGAAATCAACATGCCATTAGGCTGAGTCCTTTTAGAAATTGGATTGAATTGGGCTTTAGCCAATTTCTTTTTGGGCTACTCTATTTTCAGTCTAAACAATTACCCCTCAATCGTAAAATTTTAATGTTAAGGAAGGGAAATGGTTGCACATGCTTCAGCTATAATGTATTGTGCAATCCACATGTTAAGCTTGGATATAGGCAATGGTTACTTTATGCACACTCTTAGAGTACTATCATCATTTCCTTAAGTGCTTCGTTTGCTTAAGGTTGTAAAACCCCATTTTAACCCTGGCCTCCTACTCGAGCTTCTTTTGCCATGATAAGCTCTTAAAGGGTTAGGACTGCGGCTACTTGACCTTCTAAAAGGTTGAGGCTCGGGGGTCAAAGTATCATAGTTAGATCTACACCTTTTGAGATTCAAGATAGATCCTTCGAGGATGGGGAATCTATTAGTTAGTGTTTATAGCATTATTGCGGGATGGTTGGTTCCTTAATCTTGCTAGAAGGAGCCGAGTATATACTTGTGACTATGACTTAACATGTCATAGGCACTCCTTGATTATCTTCAAGCATCGATTCTCCTATAACCACAAGCACCCGCTTGCTTCGAGAATTATTCATTTGTTTCATAAATATAAACAATTAATTAACACACAAATGTATAAAATAAATTTTTTTCGATTATCTTAACCTTTGAGAGGTTAAATGTTATCCCTCAAATCAATATTTCCAAAGTTTGAATAGTGTCAAATGAAAATCAATCTATCATTAATCATATCTCAATATGTCAATAATATTATTAACTTAATTTTCACTCATATTCCAACACCTAAGAGTGTGTGTGTGTGTGTAAGATCTTAGCCTTGGCCTCTTGAATTTTAAAATTTAATTTCATATATTTGAACCTGTCTACTTAGTTCAATAACTTTCTTTACTATAGTTTTATTGAAATTGGTTAAAATTATCATTCAAACAATTTTCTAATATTAATTTTTTTATTTCATAAATTCACACCTAACAACATCCAAAAATTACAAACATAGTCTCAAACATAGAATTATCATTTTATAACCATAATAATATATTTTTTATTCCAAGTAATCATCTAAACATTAATATATCAATTTATATTTTTAAATTTAACTAAAAATTTACTTATAGAGGTTTAAGATTTAACTCATAAGCCTCAAATTCAAATCTCATCAACAAATTAATACTCTAAAATTTTTATTATACTACTAAGAATCTCAATAATCATATCTATTCATAAAAAATTCATCCCTCTTTCAAGTTTTAGGTTTTTCATAATCTCAAAATCAAAAACTCAAGAAAAAATATAAATAAAAAATATTGAAAATACTTATATTATTTTAAAATACTTGAAATCTCATCTAAAATATTCTATTAATAAATCTTATTTTTTAATTCAGCTCTATTGTTGCCGACGAAGTCGTGCTATCCCATTCTTTCTGTCGTGCATGAGGAAATGAAAACAATGGAAGGTAAATGAAAATGAAGTGGGGCTGTGTTGTTTTTTAAAAAAAGTGTGGGTCCCATGTGATAATTCACACCTCTCTCTCTCTCCCCTCCCCACTCTTGTTTTCTTTTTCTTTTTTTGAGTTACAAAGGCAAGCTAATGCTTGAATTACAAAAGCAAAGAGAAACTAAGCATTCCTCTTATCCGACAACAAGATGTCTAAGCAATCTAAAGGACAGTTCCAAAGTAAAACAGTGTTCGCTCCAGCAGTGTAAGCAATCTTGGCTAAGTAATCAGCACAACTCAAATTCTCTCTGGATGTTTGTTTTATGACAAG